CCAGGAGCTGGCGGACATCGCCACCTCCCGGCAGCTCCTCGCAGGCCGACAGCTTCAGGAGGGCTTTTCCTCTGGTGCCCGGCACAGCACCCACTCGTGTCACCGTGTCTGGACGGTGCCGTGTCCCGGGGTCAGTGCAGTGAGAGAACGGGAAGGAGAGCGTGGTCCTGGAGCCCTCTGTGATACTGAAATCGAGTTACTAGTTTTGCTTTTGAGAGTGGAAAAGGGCTATTGAAAAGTTGGAATAAATTTTACATAAATTGTACATCCTTCTCTTGAAGGAGAGAGAAGAAGGAAAAGAACTGCCAGGTCCTGGAGCTGTGCTGGAGGCAGCGCACCAGGGCTGCCGTGCCCTGCCATTGCAGGCTGGGGCTTGAATAGAAGCAGGACTTTTCTTTGCAGTGAAATGAGTTGGTGTCACTGGGAAGAGACAGGGGAAACAAATCACTTGTGAGGGGATTTGTGGAGGATCATCCCGTGCACGCTGTTTCTTCTTGGGTTCAGTGTGTCACGGGCCCCTGATGCTGCTGGGGGGCTCTCTCTGAGTACCATGTCTGGGAGACTTGTGGGGCCTTCTTGCCTTGTGTCTCCAGGACATTCATTCACCATGACAGTAACAAGTTTTGCCTTCCCATCTCTTGCTTGCTAGAGGCTAGACTGAGGGATCTGCCAGATGTCCAGAGTAGGCAAGTGAGCAGCAGGTTGACTGTTCAGATCCTTCCTGAGCACGAGCAGATACGCAGAGGGCTCCTCGCAGAGGCGTCATCACTTCTCTCACAGAAACCCACCTCATGTAGTTACTCATTTAGAAAGACACATTTGCTTCTGCCCGTCATGGAGAATTTTTTCACGTAGGAGGACCCAAGTCCTGCGTGTCTTTTAGGGCCATGAGGTATTTGAGCACCACGAGTTTGCTTTGTGCTCAGGCCATAACAGAAGCAGTATTTGATGTGAGCACAGGCTTCATGCACTGAAATGGGCCGTTAGGCAGCCTCTGAGGCAACTCAGCATTGTTCTTTGTCCTCTTTGTATAATTTCACTGTTTAAGGGCACAGTGAAGAAAATCTCATTGCAAATCTAATTGTGTATCTGACCACCTGTGTAAACTGTGACTTTGGCCTCCTGTTGAGCTTCAATACAGTGTCTCAAGTGTGGAACACAGCCACAGCAGCTTCCCAGCACTAAGCAATCCCAAAGCAGCTCCCTAGAGAGTTACAGGCTCTTCATGGGACCATCAGTGGCTCTGAGCTCATCAGTGAAGACCATTTAGCCATGGTAAAAAAAAAAAAACCAAAAAAAAACCAATTAACTTTTGAGTTCAAGGGGCTCTTTAAAACAGAAAAAAAAAATTCCACACCAGTAGAGTCTTTATACATGTTACCTTCATGTGCTTCATCACAAACAACTGAGCAATGAATTCTGGAACTCTGTTAAAGTGTAACTGCCTTCCTGATTTAATATTTGATACAGCCATTCCTGAATCTTGTAAATAATGTTTTTCTGTAGCTAAGAATTGCAGTAGAAAGAGGAAATTTCATTTTTGTAGCTGAATCAGAGGCTTCTGTTTTAGATTTCCATTATATGACATAGTGCCAGCATTCCGAGAGCCATCTGTGCTTTCTCCTTTGAGTCTAACTACGTAGGACTAATTTAAATTATAAGCAAAAATAACCAACCAAATCCTCTGGCCCTGAGAGCTAACTTTGCTTTCCACAGACCACATACAGAACAAGAACCAGGATAAATTGCCATACACATGCACTGGGCACAAAGAGGTTCTGGTGGAAGCGTAAGTGGAAGTTGTTCTGTTTGTACTAAAAAAGATCCCTGTGGCCGGGAGGAATACAGGGGAGCCTGCAAAGACCTGCTGAGCCAGGGCAGACGGGCACCTTACAAGAATGCTGTTTTGAACGATTTATCCTCTTGCTCTGTCTAGGGTGCCGTGTGCTGGTGCTTGAATCAGTAAATCTCGTGCGGAAGTACATTTCCGTCCTGGATGTGCTCACGTCCTGCCTCCTGCCCAGAGACGTGCTCTTCGTCCTCACAGAGGAGGAGACTGAACAAGCCAGGGTGAGATGTGTGGAACCTGCTTAACCTCCCTGACGAGCTCCTCATCGTGGTGAATGCTTTAGTCAGAAGTGTCATGTTCACAGAGAATGTCAGGAATAATTATATATGTGGATTATAAATGTCATAGCTTTACCTAGAGATGGAGACAGCTTGTGAACTTGTGGTCCAAAGCTCTTTACATGTTCCTTCTGCACTGTGTATTTTTTGAACTATGCTACATGAGATCTCACATATTTAGTCAACAGTTCCCTATATCAGAATCTGATGAGCTCCCCTTCCATAGCATGAAAATTTTTACCCAGCAAACAACCTTGTTAATTCACAAATTACAGAACTTTCCTGCTTTTGAGGCTGTTAAAAGATGGAGTTACAGATGGAAACTGCTCTGATAAAGGTGCTGTATTCCCTTGTGGTTTTCGTTCCTGAAATCTGACCCTTCTAAGCTGGTGTACTATAAATAGATAAAGTTTCAGCTGGCAGCATATGATCGGAAGCAGCAGGCGAAGTGTTCTCAGATGCACCTATCAGGTTTCTGCTTCCCCGGCATGTGAACACCCAGGCGTGAGATCACACTGGGAGGAGTTATATGTGACAAAGAAACTGTCACAGCACCGATCTGCAGCTGTAAGGTCCTTTCTAGCAGGACCTCTCTGAACACTACGCAGCACACCACCAGTGACACGGGGGCAGCCAGGCCTTTCCCTGCCCCTTTGCCCCACGGAGCAGGCAGCCTTCTGCCTCCCACTGCTGCTTCCCCGCTCACTGGAAACAGGCTGTCCTGTAAATGGGCAGTGAACCTTGCAGGAGGCCTAGGAACCTGCCCTCCCCTTAGGTCTGGAATGTTCTCGTAATGCTTTCTCAACTATTTTTCCTTCTAGAGAGCCATGCGGTGTCATCGCAGCCAGCTCCTCTGGTTTCGCCACATCTACATGCTTTTCTCGCGTTATATGGTGATCAATTCACTCCGCCTTCTGCAGGAGACATCGCTCACAACTTCAGGAGTAAAAGAATGAGCGAGAAAAAGACTGTGCCAGGCCAAGGACTAAAGAAAATTCAACTGTTACGTGCTCAAGAGGACAGGATTCTCTTTGCGCAGCGTTCTTTCAGACTACAAAAAACAGTCTCCGTGAACTTCATTCTGAATATCTAGTTGCCTGATACATTTTGATGAATGGAGTTTAACAGCTACTCTGCTTTCTCACTGTAGAAACTTAAATAGGATAAGAAATTTGGATTAACCTAATTAGGAGTCAGATGGAGGTGTATTCTACATTAGAGAAGACATGGCACAAACTGTATTTCCCCAAGATGATACAGCTGCGAGGACTGCTTGGCAATTGTCTCTTGGCGCTTTTGTAAAATCCAGATACGAGGAGTAACTTTTCAAAGATCATGCTATCACCACACATAAAAACCAGAACCACAAGACCTGTCTTACTCAGTCAGAACTTAAAAAAGCCAAAGTTTATGAATAAAACATCAGAAATTATATAAATTTTTCTTAATTGTATCAATCTTTTCTGTTACTGCTGCTTCTTTCATACACATTGTGTGGCAGGCTCCACCTTTGCAGAGCACGCCTCATGAACCGTAAGCATTTCTTCTTGCTTCAGAACATGGGGCTTGCAATCAACTCCCAAGACTCTCAGCCAGACGTAAGAACGAGATGTAAGAGATCCAGACTGCAACTTGGTCTGTTATAGAACACGTGGAGATAAAAATTGCAGGAGATGTTTCAAAAGCTGTTCCACTTCTGTAAAAGACAAGTGCAAGAGTTAAAGATCCTCACCCTTTATGTTAAAAGGTAAGTGAAGCAGCTTTCAGTGGTTTCATTACTTAGCCCATACAGGGATTTTACTAGTAATTTGGGTTTTTGTGGGGTCATGGTGGAGCAAAGTCAGCAATACTCAACATATCTGTAGGCCTTTGCACTCAAAACATGTGAGCTCACATCTACAGGAGGCAGCTTTCCCAGATCGACCCAGCGAGTCGTTGCACAGTCAAGATCAGAGCCCAAAGGGCCAGATCCTGGCCTGTTGCTTCTTCTTCCTGAAGCCAACAGAAGAGTTCTGGTTGTACTGAAGTACGTGCCCGTTGGTGTAAGCGCGTGACAGTGAACTCTGTTCCCTGGCTGTGAGTCGGTGCCTAAGCATGTGACTACTCAGCCTTGAGACCGTAAGTCCAGGTTTAAGCAGAACAGTACTTAATCACTAACTTCAGTGGCCCTTGTCCTGCACAGGGCTAAGCACGCGTGTTAAATGCTTTTCTGAACTTGAACCTGTGCTTTACTGAACTTGAGCCTGCTAAGGTCTTTCAAATCCCCTTTAACTTGAAATTCACAGTCAACTCATTGAAATCAATGGAAAAAAAATATTGTAAGTTAGTAGTATGTCCTAAGCAAGAGATTATATTATATAGGATGTGTTATAAGCCAGACTTGAAACACAGGAAATATTCATAGAAGCAAAGATTAGAAATCTTTTTGTACTTTGCTCTGTTTATCGTGATTTAAACTTCAGCACAGCTAAGGGCAAAGTACCAAAACAGCAGCCCTGGAGTGGTTTATGCAACAGAAGTAGTTTGAAGATGGACAGTCATAAATGAATGGGACAGGCATCATAGAAAGATTTATTTAAGAATCAGAGAACAGGTAACAATAACATAGAGATTGATTTTGCCAGCCCTCAGCCAGGAAAGCCCAGACCGCAGTTCCATGGCAATGCTCCAACTTGAGCTGCTGGAAGCGTGTCAGGGTTTAGACATGTCTCGGATGGTCTTATGCTCCTTCACTGCCTTCTCCCATTCTTTGCCGTTGATATCCTCTGTGAGAATGGTCTGCACGGTGCCATCATCCAGACAATGGGGAGCTATTCCTGAAGAAAGACAGAATACACATGTGGAGAAACCTGCTTTTCACAGGTGAAGTGTGGGAGATGCCTGCACCACTCTGTGGATCGGGCATCTCAGGGAATGGTAGATGCTCAGTCCAGCTACTGCTGCAAGGCTGAGGAGCCTAGATGAGAAACCTGCCATGGGCAGAAGCCCACATGTCATAGGTAAAGCTGTTTCTTATGGAGGAGCTACAGGTTCAGATGTTTGGCACTTTAGGAACAAACTCTTTTAAGATACATGCTCACTCCTGTCACGTTAGCATCCAATAGAGTCTTTTTCCAAGGTCTGCTTGGTGGTTAACTTTGGTTACCTCAGCTTATTCTTTCTACCTACCATAACCATCTGGATTAGAACGAGGAGTATAAAAGCTCTGTACACCACAGGTCTTGCAGAACGTGTGCTGGGCCCGATGTGTGTTGAAGGTGTATGTTGTCAAATTATCAGCACCCTAAGCAAATGAAAAGCAATGTAAGTTTTTCACATAAACAGATGTATTAATTGCTTTCTATAGGCCTGTAGTTAAGGAGTGTAAAATTTAAAATAGCACTTCTGTGTCTTTACTTGAGATAGAGCTCTGCATTCATGCTCCTTTTCTGAACCCCTGTACTTTGTATATACATGTGTCCGTAACGTGTGTCCAGAACTACAAGAGCTCGTATTAACCGACCCACACCAGACAGTATAAAATTTAGCCATTTTCCCCAACCAGCCATAGACAAACTCAGAATAGAAAGCTGGCTGCCACTTGGATCTTTGAGGATATCACTGGATTGTACTGCTCGTGTTCATGGCTGTGCTCTTACTGTATTCTTACTCTACCTTCAGCAGCTTGAAACGTGACGCTGGGACAATGAAGTGTCTGTTCTGTTTCTTTGTGCAAATGCTGCAACTGTAAAAGACAAAGCAGACCTTCCTAGCAGCAGCAGCAGAGAGTAATTGGATCTAACATGGACCTCTTGACAGCAGAAATTCCACCAACAGCTAAAATGGCTCCTGGTTAGCATCACAGAGGTAAGCAGCAAAAGTGGACTTGTGGTATCAGTAGCGTTTGGGTCAGCACACCCACCCAACAGACTGGCCCCACACAGGTGCGCTCCTAAGGTATTGTCCTACACCAAACGTCCTACACCATTCTTGCTTCATATATACAACTCTCAACAGACATAACAAGTACAAACTCTAACCCTGAAAAATCCATTTAATCTTTCAGTCCAGACTTTGCCAATTTTTCCAGTGTTAATTAATTTGCAACCAAGAAAGCAAGGCTCGGAAGTTTAGCCATCAGCTAGAAGCAGACTAGTTGCAGGCAAAGGGGGATTACTACTGAAATCAGACAGTGGTGTTGTACGAAGCACATGTGGTCAGAGCTGTAATGTTTCTGAGAATATCCAGTTAAAAAAGGATTGATGTGCTTTGAGCACCCTGCACTTAGAGCACACATCATTAAATCTCTCCTGACGCTTTCTGCATGAGCACAGGTGTGAGAACTGAAGTGCTGTCCAAAGAAGCAGCACCTGAAGTCACCAGCACTGATGCCATACTGGATTGGGCCATAGTTAGGGGGATACTCTATGGAAACAGCTCAGAGGATGTTCTGCAGTTGTGGCATCATCTTTTAGCTCTAGGGTACTGACTGGAAAAGCATACGAGCTTATATTCGTCTATGAAAATAAGGAACAAAAAAACCCAAACTCACTTGCAGTTAAAAACATGCAGATCTGCTGAAGCCCAGACCTCGAAACGGACGGCTCCGCAGTGACAGCCTCCTGTGTGTTTGACCAAACCTCTGTATTCACTGGAGAGAGGAACAACAGAGGGTTTGTGATCGTACCTTTTTTTCAGGGAGGAGTTCAAGCAAACAGTAAGGCTCTGTACTACATTATCCAACTCTGCTTCAAGCACTTGCGGAACGCCAGCAAATGTATTTTAATAAAATAGAATCATAGAATCATAAAGGTTGGAAAGGACCTGTAAGATCAAGTCCAACCTACAGCCCTACACCACCCTAACACTAAACGTATCAGAGTGAGATAGAGAATGGCTTTTGTCCTCTGCAGCCAATGGTGAAGAGGAAAGAAGAGCAACAGTTCAAGGAAAGTACACTCTGCGTGCAATACAAAACATGTGCTCCCCTGCCACAGTCCGGGTCAAAATGCTGACCCAGGCTACAGCATTATTTTTGCACAACAGTACATAGAAACGAGACAACCCTCTTGGAACTGGGAACTGAATTTTCCCACCATTTCCCCACCACTGCTCCAGCACTACTAATATTCCCCCATTTAAAAGCTGGGAAAAGCAAAGGATTCTACATCATTTTTGAAATACATATTATTTTGTGTTGTAATTGCAGAGGAGCTTAATGATCGAGGAATTTCTGAGCTTGAGCTTCTCCCTCTCCCCTAGCGCCTCCCATAGCAACGGGACAGAATCACCACGCCAGGTCAAACGCAAAATACAAAGGAAACCTCTTTTCCTTTCAGATGGTCACTCCCAGGGCCAGTTACTGATTGCAGCCCACTGGAGATGTGCTGTGCTCGGGAAAGAAAGAGCAGGGGACATGGGGGCAGATGTAGCAGCTGAACCTCGGAGATCCCGCGCGATGGCCCCAAGGGCGTTTTTGACGGGAGAGCCCGAAACCACCGGCAGCCTGAGCATCCAAAGCCATGTTCTCCGCCGTGCGTGCGGGGGACCCCCGCGCCCTCCCGACCCCGTTTTCCCCCACCCTCCTCCCGCCGCCCTACTCTGCAGCTCCCCAGAGGCCCGTGTTTGCTG